TATTAAAGGGGGATTGTGTTTGGAATTTTGTGTAAAGAAAGTTTCTTTTTCTTTATGAAGTAGCTGCCATTGCTCTCTGGAGAATGAAGATGAGAACGCACCTACTTCATATCAGGGAGATCAAGGAGAACACAGAGGTACCTGCATGTTTTTATTCTTAAGCTCTTATTAGATAAACAACTTATTTCCCCCTCCTCTAGTTTAAGTGAGGCATACTTGAAAAGATAAAGAACTAATTTTAACTGAGATGTGAATACTTTCAGGTACGAGGAGTATTTTTTTTTTATCCTCACCCGAGGACATTTTTTCACTTTTTGTTCAGATACAGAGGGGGAGGGGGGAAGAGGAAGAGAGAGAGAAAGAGAGAAACATCAACGTGAAAGGGACACATCAAGTGGCTGCCATCGGCACGACCAACCAGGGCCAGGGACAAACTGCAACCAAGGTACGCGCCCTTAGCGGAAACCGAACCCAGGTCTCTCTGGACCACAGGCTGACACTCTAACCACTGAGCCAAAACGGCCAGGGCTCGAGGAGTATTTTTTTTGTTGTTAATCCTTATCTGAGGATATTTTTTCCACTGTTTTTTTTTAAGAGAGACTGGAAGGGAAGAAGGGACGGGGGAGGGAGAGAAAGAGAAACATCAATGTGAGAGAGACACATTGATTAGTTACCTCTCAAACACACCACGATCAGGACTGGGGATCAAACCTGCAACCTAGGTACATGCCCTTGATCAGGAATTGAACCTGCAACCCTTTGGTGCATGGGCCAACACTCTTAACTACTGAGCAACACCTACCAGGGCTTTTGAGGAGTTTTAATTTAAAATCTAAATAAACAAAAAACAAAACCAACCCTGCCTCCTTTTCCCCCTCTCCGTCCTCCTCTGCTCTCTGCTCTCTTGTGAACAAGCCTGTCCTGAGAAGGTGATGGAGCTGTTCCTCTTAACCCAGCTTGAGGGGCAGGTGGCATGTGAGGTCTGCCAACAAAGAGTGAATGGGAGGACATGGAAACCAGGGTATATCTCGGCCTTGGCGTGCAGCAGGGCAGCCAAGCACACCCTGCCACTCAGCAAACACTTTTCATTCAGACATGGAATATAAACAATAGCCTTTTGGGAAACCAAAGTCAAGAGAGCTGCGTAATTGGTGAGTGGCATTCACTGCATTTGGTGGTATCAGTTTCTATGGTCAGGTCTGAGCGATGGATTATGGTTTCCAGTGCCTGTTCCATCATGGGAAATACATGACCATCTGCTTTTAACAAGTGTCAGTCTGCAGAGTAAATGACAAATTAAGTTTAACACCGCAATTTATTGAGGAGACACAAAATGTGACAGTGGTCACACACTTGGGGGTGGTCCAGCCAATGGAAGACTAAAGGTGAGTCTCAAAAGTAAACGTATTTTTATTTTAGAAGTCATATATGTGTATAAAGATGCATTTATAATCCAGGTGATATTAGATTAGTGCCTTATTATTCACAGTCTTTTTTTCCCTATATTGATTTTAGAGAGAGAGGAAGAGAGAGATAGAAGCATTGATGAGAGAGAACATCGATTGGCTGCCTCCTGCATGCCCCACACTGGGGATCAGGCCCACAACCTGGGCATGTGCCCTGACCGGGAATCGAACCGGTGACCTCTTGGTGTATGGGTTGATGCTCAACCGCTGAGCCACACCGGCCAGACTTATTCATAGTCTTAATGGAAAATACCAGGCTTCTGAGAGGCCAAAGAACATTTGGGGAGATAACTTCACTTTGTACAACCTATACCACACTTTTTTTTTCCCAATTACCTTGGTAACTATAGAATTTCCAGGGCTAATTCTGAGTACTCCCAAGAGATGGAAACATAATTAACAATGCTCTGTATAAAGCACGAGTTACGTAGACCATCACACTGTAATTACTCTCAGAATGCAACTCTAACGTAATAGGCATCACGTTTCTTCTGGAGGAGCACAGCGGCCCCATGGTATCTGAGCCTTCCAGATCTCTGACACTCCTGCACGGTCGTCACTGCACAGATACTGCGCTGTGATAAATGAATCAGATGATGCAATTAGGAAGTAAGTTCTTCAGGTTACCCTTCTAATCACTCAGTCACGTCACAGGCTTATTCCAGCCTGCTCAGTTTTCTGGCATCGCGGGCCCAGGATGGCTGAGGAGAGCAGCCCACACCAAACAGGAACTTCCAGCTCTGTACTGTAATTACCTCCTTGAACCATAAGGCACAAAGAGGTTACATACTGCCAATGCCACAATAAATTAAACCAAGTACCCCCTCTGGAATCTCCCTTTTTATAATGGAAGCTCGGAATCTCTACACACATGATCCTGATAAATACTTTTGCACATCAACTGACTCTGAAGCTGTTGGACTGGGGAAGATTATTTCAAACTATAAACTGGACACAGAAGGGTATACAATGCAGTGTTTAATGGGAGTGCCTGCTTTCTCTCTCCCTCATTCGCAGCAATATCCTGTGCAGACTGAAGGTACTCAGGCCCAACGGCCACAGGAGAAAAGGACATGGAAAAAGTTTGGAAGAGAACCACAAGGACCAATGAAAGGTTGCAGCTTGAAACCAAATCAGAAAAGTCAGTGGAAGTGGAATGTTTCTATAGAGAGAAGACAAAGAAACCTAATAAAGAACTTGAAAGCAAGGAACTACCCACTGAAAAAGAACCAGAGAAAATTAAATTATAGAATTTAAGTTAGAAATACAGAGACTTACCTAATGATAAAGGTAATGCTTGGAATGGGATGCTGGAGGCTTCTTAAAGCCTTTATTTATTTTGAATTTTATTGTAATTATTTTTATATAAGGCACATTCTTTTTTTTTTTTAATCCTCACCCGAGGACATTTTTCCATTTTTGCTCAGATAGAGTGGGAGGAGAGAGAGAGAGAGAGAGAGAAACATCAACGTGAAAGAGACACATCGAGTGGTTGCCACCCGCACAACCCAACCAGGGCCGGGGACAAACTGCAGCCTAGGTAAGTGCCCTTAGTGGGAACTGAACCAGGGTCTCTCTGGACTGCAGGCCGACACTCTAACCGCTGAGCCAAACCGACCAGGGTGGCACATTCTTATTTCTCACCTTTATATGGAACTCTTTTAAATGGTGAGATCAAGCCCTGGCCGGTTTGGCTCAGCGGTTAGAGTGTTGGCCTGTGGACCAGAGCCCTGGGTTCGGTTTCCGCTAAGGGTGCGTACCTTGGTTGCAGTTTGTCCCTGCTCCAGTTGGGGTCGTGTGGGTGGCAACCACTCGATGTGTCTCTCTCGCATCAACATTTCTCTCTCTTCCCCCCTCTCTCCCTCCTGCTCTATCTGAAGATAAATGCAAAAATGTCCTTGGGGGAGGATAAAAAAACAAAAAACTTCCTGGTTAAAGTGAACGGTGAGATCAAGCAATAATTTCCCTTAAAAAACAAAAACAAAAAAACAAACACCTCTCTTTGGGCTCTCCCAGTCATTTTGTTGTTGTTAATCCTCACCCAAGGATATTTTTCCATTGATTTTTAGACAAAGTGGAAGAGAGGGAGAGAGAGAAACATCAATATGAGAGAGACACATCGATTGGTTGCCTCCCACATGGCAGGGTCCGGGGATTGAACCTGCAACCCAGGTACATGCCTTTGACAGGGAATCAAAACTGAAACACACTGGTCCAAGGGCCAGTGCTCTAACCAGTGAGCAAAACCGGCCACAGTCTCTCTCAGTCTTTATACCTATCTTCCTACCTCCCTTCCTTCTTTTTTTTCTCCTATCAAACAGTATAAATTTCCAAATCGGTCGGGTTCAATTTGGGCCACCTCTTATAGGTGCAAGCAGCATGGTTACTGACAACTGCAACACCTGCCACCTGGGAGGACCTGGAACATGAAGGCAGAGAAGAGCCAAGGCCATGAGCATAGAGGCAAGCGTGGCCATGGACAATCACATGCGCACTGGTGGGGAACGCTGGGGACCTGAAAGTAGAAATCGGATATAGGAAGAAGGTAATTGATTCAATTATGATTCCCTTATGCAGCCTCTAGTTTGAAAGAAAAACAAACAAACAAGAAGTGCAAACCAAATTAAACAAATAGAAGGTAAACTCAGCCAACTTCAGAGCGCCCCCTGCACAGAGCTTCATGCCTCCCAGGTCTCAGCTTCGTGGGAAGGATGGACACTCTCTCTGCCCAGAGTCCTGGCCACTGACTTAAGGTCTGATGTCCACCATCTCTATGAACTAACTTTCCCATCTGTACAAAGGGAGGAAATCTCTGTGCCGTATCTCCCCCAGGTTACCAAAGTAATGAGAAAGCACGTCTCAGCTACTAAGGTTCCTGCAAGACAGCCGCCCTGGGAGCATGGCACCTCCTTGGAGTTTCTGAACTGTTTTCTTTAGGGTGCACAGGTCGGAGCTGCCTTCCACAGAGGGAAACCACGACGACCAGGACAGGCCAGGGTCTGAGGACTGCCCGGGAGCCTGCACCCAGCCCCCGATACGTCCTCAGAACAAGGGAGACAGGCAGCCTCTGCACAGAGCTAGGCTTCAAGGCTGGCAAGGTTACATAAAAAAAAAATTCTTAGTTGTTTTTGTTGTTCTAACCATTTTTCTGGGGTTTTATTTTGTTTCCCTTAAGTATTTTATTTTTCCTCTAGTGAAGAGCTAAAAGTTTATCTTTGAATGTTTTTCTTTGTTAATTGATTCCTCTGGTTCTTACCATCTTCATTTTTTAAAATGTATTTTTCATGTGGAAATAAGAAATACTGTTTTAAAAATGTTTGTTGTCCAAATGTCAGTTCTTATGAATATGCCATATCATTGCAGCAATCAAATAAATGTCTCTATTTTCGATATATGCTCCGAATGTGCAGAAAAGACCCGTGTTAGATATTTTAAAATAAAATGTAAATACATCGTTATTTTAAAAGATGTCAATGAAATGATACCCAGCATCTTCTTTAAGGAGTTTTCTCCTCATCAAAGTCCAGCACATACCAGCAATGAATCTTTCATGAAGTCTTTGATCCTTCTCAGAGAATTTTTCTCACTGAAGATGAGCTTTTCAAAAAGATGCAGCACTGTTTTTTCAAGGCTGGGAAGGTGTCGAAGCCAGAGGCAGGTTATAGCTGACTTGGAGAGAGCAGTCTTCTTCCTTTCGGGAGGAAATAAAATTTTAAATAGAAATGGGTTACAGAAAGAAGGAGATAAAGAGAGTTCAAAATGCAAAAACAAATCCAATATGTGAATCATTTTTTCATGGTCACAGCAGTAGTTAATATTTATAGTATCAATGAATATTGATCAAGTATCTACAAAATAATGTAAATATGCTTCCACTTCAACTAAAGAGATTAGAGAAATGCTCAAAGGAAAAAAAAAAGCTTTCTAAAAGGATAAACAAATATATAGTGATGGAAGACAGAGAGTAATAAAAAATGAGATGGAAAAAGGCCTGAAGATATCTAGGTACATGCAGTGCCTAACTGAAGAAACAGTTATGCTTGAAAGTGCGTCATGATGGTTTAAAGAGGGTTTGAGTCCCAGAGCTACCATCTACTAACTGTATGACCTTGAGAAAGTTACTTAATCTGTAAACTGTAGTTTACTTATCTGTAAAATGGGCCCATCTCCCTCATAGTGTTGTCAGAAGGATCAAATGCAATAATGATGCAAGTACAGTGACTAGCACAGCGCTTGATACCTAGTAAATATTTAGTAACTATATTTGTAAATCTGTTGCTTGAAAGTCAAAAAGTATTTTTCGTTAGTAACAATTTTGCAGATGGTGGTTATGGCTTGTTTTAATACATAGTTAATCCACAGCATTATACTCTATAGACAACAACCATTTCTACAGGAAAATGTATCTGGAGGTTCCTCCTTTATCAGGGGTCCTACCTACATCCCCGTGTGGGAAGGAGCATGAGGGAGTGTCTGCCTAACGTGGAGCCACTGGGCCTATTCTGGCCTGGTGGGACTTATCTACCTTCTTCCAGCCCAGCTTTTCTGAAGCCCTTCTCCTTTCACCTGCAGCATCGTAGACAGCACAGTGCCCTCCACGTGCTGCCAAAGATGTTCACTGCTTTTAATAAGGAAAACAAACGCTGGAGCACAAAGGTTCCCTGTTACCCAACAAATCCTTCAGTGTCTTCCCTTCACCATCACTCCCGGTACTTTCTCTGCAGGAGCTGGTGTGGAGCCCAGGGGATGGGTACAGGGCAGGAACTGAATAGACAGGAGACACAGGGTAGCATTTGCTAATGATTTCTCTTTTTCTTCTCCCTCAGATAAGGTAGTCAGGGCTTAGCTAGGTGAAGAGCAGTAGGAAGAGCTTTCTGGTAGAGGGAACAGCAGCCATGATAGCCCCGAGACAAGAAAGAGCAAGGTCAGAAGGAGAGAAGCCCCAGAGAGCAAAGATAAGGTGACTTGTGACCTGGCTGTGCTGTACCACAGGCTGAGGTAAGATTTTAGGGTCTTACTCTGTGATTATTCTGGCCTCAGGATTTAAACAAAGTGCCAGGATGCAGTTGACATTCAAAGCTCACTGACTGCACCATGGAGAACTGAGCACAGGGACTGGCGTGGGTGCAGAGAGCCAAGAGCTAGTGCTGGCTGGGCCCTGGTGGAGAAAGAGTGAGGAGCACCTGCAATGTATTTTCATGCCAAGAGAAACTGGCAGTGAAGCTGATGAGAGGTGGTACAGGTGAGGTAGGAATCAAGGCTACTCCAGGTTTCGAGATGGATGGACATACCACTTACTCAGATGAAAGAAGGTAAGATAACAAGATTTGGGAAGAATTAACTAAGAGCTCAGTTTGGAATGTGTGAATTAGCATATCTGAGGCACAATCCAACAGAGGTGACGTAGGTTCTCCAAAATCCTAGTTGAAAGTTTTGGGGAAAGGTCTGGTCTAAAGATATATACTAAGGAACCGTCAGGTGTATAGAACAGCAAGAAAATGGATGAGAACTCAGGAAGAGGGGTCTGAGTTGGGAGAAGAGGGCCTGGGTGTGTGCCCTGAGAGGAGAAAGAGGAGCTGCAGACAGGAGGAAGCAGGAGACACGCACGCAGAGCCTAGCAGCCATTTTTACACAGGGCCTGTTGCGCAAACTGCACTTCAAAGAGAGGCCTACACTGAGCTGCCTGCCTGCACTGTGTTCTACCATCTGAACCAGCCCTTAGAAAAGAGTTCCTGGAATTCTATTTCAACCAATAGGACTGAGGCTTTCCCCATCCCATTAGAGCAGTGCAGCTCTGACCAACCAGAGCAACTCTATTCTGACCAATCGGGACAGTGATTTTTAGACCAATCAAACTGTAAGGATTTGGAGACCTCATCTGCATGAGGACAAACCAATCAGGGACCAGGGGCAGGGACTTCCGTCCATATAAGCCAGGTCCCCTCTGACTCTGAGAGTACACTTTCCCTTTCCACAGAACACTGAAGACTGCCTTTCTCCAGACCAGCTGAAACACAGAACAGACTGGCACAGAAGGAAGCAGACCACAGCAGAGTGGAGCAGACCAGCACAGCACAATGCAAACCAGTGCAAAGCAGACCAGACCACTGAGGAGCAGAGCAAAACTGTCTGGCCTGAGAGGGTCCTGGTCCCAGGGCTGCCTCACAGCTGTGCTGTATCACAATGTAGCTGTTTTTCACTGAATACAGTTTCCTTCTTCAGAGCACCCAAAATTGGGGACAACCACTGGCATTGAATTGGTGCCAATGACCATCAGTTGACAGTACATACAGTAAGTAGTCCTCCCTTATGTGTGGGGCATATGTTCTAAGACCTGCAGTGGATGCCTAAAATGGCAGATAGTACAGAACCCTATATAGACTATGTTTTTTTCCTATGCATGCATAGCAACGATAAAGTTTAACTTATAAGTCAGGCACAGTAAGAAATTAACAACAAAAAATAATAAAATAGAATAACTCTAACAATATATTGTAATAAAAATTAATGTGAATGTGGTCTTTCCCTCAAAATGTCTTATTGGGCTGTACTCACTTTCTTCTTGTGATGATGAGATGATACAATGCATATGTGATGAGAGGAAGTGGGGTGAATATGGTGGGCAAAGGGATGATTTATGTTCCTGGCAGGACAAGGTGGGACAGAGTAGAACCAGGCCAGATTTCATCATGCTACTCAGAATGGCACGTAATTTAGAAACATATGAATTGTTTATTTCTGTAACTTTCCATTTAATAATTTTGGACTGTGATTGACTGCAGGTAGCTGAAACTATGAATAATCTGGGGCTACTGTAATATTTTTGTTTTATTCTCAACACAGTTTAAAAAGTGTGTACGTTAACAACTGTCTTTTTTTTTTTTTATCCTCACCTGAGGACATTTTTTTTTTCCATTTTTTGTTCAGATAAAATGGGAGGGAGAGATAGGAAGAGAGAGAGAGAGAGAAACATCGATGCGAAAGGGACACATCGAGTGGCTGCCACCCGCATGACCAACCAGGGCCAGGGACAAACTGCAACCGAGGTAAATGCCCTTAGCGGGAACCGAACCTGGGTCTCTCGGGACCGCAGGCCGACGCTCTAACCACTGAGCCAAACTGGCCAGGGCAACAATTGTCTTTTTATTAGAAGAGCACACTCTACTGACTTCTGTGAATGATTACATTTATGGATCCATGTTTAGTATGTGAATCATCTATTATCAATAAAATCTATTTTGCTCTAAAACAGCAAAGACTTAACTCTTTATAAGCAATCTAGGATGAAGAAATCACCAAAGCAACATGACCTTAACATGCTTTCATAATAGTATTTGGTTGGGTCAACACATTCACATTACATACAATGTTCTAAATGTGTACCAGGTGGGTTTTGAAATAAAAAAAGCAAATTACATTATATGTCAATTATATCTCAAAAAAACTATGAAAAAAAAAGGCAAATTACAGAAGAAGAAATGCAAATGGCCAATACAAACAGGCAGATTTTCAACCTTATTAATAAAGAAAGGTAACCTAACATATCAAGCAGATATCACCCTCATGTCAGCAAGTCTTTAGAAGAGTGATGTCTAATGCTGATGTAGGTACAGGGAGGGGCTAGGTGTTCTCAGAGGTGGGTCAGGGAATGGCTTTGCCATTTTTGGTTAAATCGCATGGTACCACCCAATAAAACATAAAGTACACATATCCCTGGTCTTAATAATCATACTTCTGTGAATCTGCCTGGCAGAAATAAAAGCATCAGTTGAAGGATATTTAATGCCCAATATTATAAAGACACAATTAGGAACAACTTGAATGCATGATGCGTTGGCAAACAGCTGAAAATATTATGGTCCATTCATATCAGGGAGTGTGTTGCAATTAAAAAAAAAAAAAAAGCTGGATGTATATCCCTTGAGCAATATCCAAAATATGCTAGTTAAAAGAAAAAAATGTTTAGCCCTGGCCGGTTTTGCTCAGTGGTTAGAGCATCGGCCTGCGGTCCGGAGAGACCCGGGTTCGGTTCCTGCTAAGGGCACGTACCTCGGTTGCAGTTTGTCCCCGGCCCTGGTTGGGTCGTGTGGGTGGCAACCACTTCGATGTGTCCCTTTCACGTCAATGTTTCTCTCTCTCTCTCTCCTTCCCATTCTATCTGAACAAAATATCAAAAAAATGTCCTTGGGTGAGGATATATAAAAAAAAAAAATGTTTTTAGGGACAGTGAAAAATTTCATTCTATTCAACATGTGTTAGTCATAGAAACTCTAAGGCTGTCCTTTTTCTCATCTAACCACACTTGTTCTATCCATTCAGTCTACACGATGATCAAAATGACAAATTCAAGGGAAGCAGGATAAGATAAAAACTTGGCTCTCCAAAATTCCTACCTAATAATCACGGGGAATTTTCTGCATTATAACTGTGTTTTAGGAAAATTATAGGGTATGTGAGACTAATATGTATCATATTATAATTTTCTCCTTTAAAATACTGAGGAATAAACTCCTAGTGAGAGCTTTTACGCAGAAAATCTGAGTTTTAGTAATAATTTCTGACACGGGCAGAATATGCCTGGACAGGACACGTTGCCTTGTCCAACATCTCCTATTATTCGACTCTTCTAGACAAATGCCTGCTTGACATTTAGAAAACTGTACTTCATTTCCCCCAAATACTCAATTTAGC